GACTTGATGACCTCTCGAGGTTCCTGCCAGTTCTAGGAGTCTAAGATTCTATGATAAACCAAAACAAGCAAGAGTCTCATAGAGGAAGTGAGCATGTTAGTGAACAGTTCCCAATAGGAAACAATCCAGCAGTAGCCGGGGAATGGACTCAGATGACCTGAGAGAGAGGGGGTTTCTAATTTAGACTCAGTAGATCTGATTTACTCCAAGGAAAAATTAGCATAACTAAAGCTGCCACCTCTCACTAGTTACAGGATTAATGTTTTATTAAAAATAACGTTTTATTTTTATGTCCCATGCAGACTAGGACGATCTAGGCATCATTTCATTACAACTCAGAGAATTACTAAGCCACTCTGCAGGAGAAATAGAACATCTTTTCTGTATTCTTGCCTGGGTACTAAATTGCATGATCTATCACTGTGAGACAGCAAGCTTCCCCAAATTGAATAGTGGAATATTTTGCCATTTATTATGCTCCAGGCTGTTTATTTCCTTTAGCATCGTGTGATCAAAGCTTGACTACAGAGCCTTCCCCAAAGGCTAAAATCCAAACAAACTTTGAATCCAACAACACTTGAGCAATGTGATGGATTGTGGTATTCAGCATTAGGAATGGCACACGATAACTGATCCATTTCTGTCTTCCTAACTTAATGAAAGCAAGGGAAATGCAAAGTAGTAGTAAATTAAAAGGAAATTGCGTTTTAATGCTGTAGAAACAACCCATAACATTCACTCCCCCCCCGGAAGCCATCGCCACAAATGCTGTAGATATTCTTACAGGCTGGAGAATGTTATGACTGTGAGAGCAAAGCAAGCTAAGATTATAATGAATGTGCCTCAGCATGCCTGCTCTTCCCTGGCCCTCGGGCCATAGTGTTCTCTCTGCTCCATAGCCAGAGCACGCCACCAGAGAGACTGCCAGTTGGCTGCTGTTTGTTTTCTGCACAGGCGTCTCTTGCTTTGAAGAGTAGGACTGGTCCAAGAGAGACCACGAAGCTTTTCTGATGTTTGCCATCAAAGATTGTTGCTGCTTTTGAACCAGTTTACCAAGTGGCCAGACTACATCAAGTCCCAGCGTTTTGAAAGTGGTGTGCAATTTTAACACAGTTATGTTGACGAGCCAGGAGTTGGCCAGTAATAGAAGCAGAATATAAACAGGAACTAGCATGGACGTATCAGTATCACAAGGTCTTTTAACACAGTGTATTTATGTATCATTCGTAACAGGTTCGAGGGGTTTTCCAATAAATCAGGCACTTTGTACATTTTTGAAAATTTTGGCACCTGCCACACACTAGCCGCAAAAGTTAGCATTGGCATGAACACCACGAACGTTGTTGCAATGTACATTTATGAGGCTTTTTGTTCTGCTGTGTCTTCTCTTCAATACCCTTGAGGGTTTGGCTTTTTAGGGTTAAGCTGCGGCTTCCCCTTTGCAAGATTAAGTTTTTCCTTCCTCCCCGTCCCGCTGACAAATCCTGAGCTCACTTGCATACCAGACTCCATTGGCTGGCTGGGTCTGGCCTCATTTCTAACAGCTACAGGCAAGTTTTCCCCAGCTGAGTGTCTAGCAAGGAGAGTTTACTTGCCACCCCTTGCACTCTCCAGAGATTTACTGCCCAGCTGTTCTGCTCGGCTCACTCAGCTCCCCAGTCTTCCCGCTGAGCCTGAGCCAGAGTGTTCACTCCAAGAATTAACACGGAGACCTTCCTGTCCCAACAACTGGCGAAGCACAACCACTTGGTTATCACAGGCCTCTTCCAATTCCCTGACAGTTTTCACTTCCTCCACAACCTTCTTTGAGCTACCCACATTGGATCTTTCCAAAGCAAAGTCTGTGGATCCATTGTCTGCAGAAACATTCTGGCTGTTAGCAACTGGACCAAGGGTCTTAATTTCTACATGCAAAAATTCATCCTGATCCACCTTAATCATCTGCTTAGGGACGGCCCTGTGGGGTGCAGCCCCTGGGAGGGATGGGGATGGGAGACCTGGCCACCACAGCCCACAGCACTGCATACCACCATGCATTTGGGGCAATTTGGTGTCATGGTGCCCTGCACGGGGGGCGCAGTGGGAGGGACTGCTTTGCAGCCCACAGGGTGCTCCTGCGATCGGACAAGCCCAGGTTGGAGTCAGTTAGTTATGATCTTGCTCAAGGAAAATGCTCTGCAGGAAATTTGCTGCCTCCTTTGTGACCAGAGCTCTGCTGTAGCGGGCTGCTGACCTGTCTCCTGTGCCGGGAGACAGCTGCGTTTCCCATGTGTGTGCAGACCCACATTGTTCTCCGCTCTGTGCCAAGCTCTCCCCTGCCCCGATGGCAACACGGCCACTTCTGTTCTGCTCCCAGCAGGTGCCGCAGCCCCCGCTGGCCTGTGGGAACCGCCTGCCGCTCAGAGGAGAAAACAGGCCCAGCTGCTATTGTGGTTGTCTCCGGAGCCTCCTGGCCTTATCTCGCGGCTAGACACAGCATTGGCACGTGTGGCAGTGCCTCGTCTGGGCACAGGGCACTTCTGAGTGTGTCCTCCAGCCAGCCAAACCCTGCCCCCAGCCATTACTCACACAGTGCGCAGGCGGAGGAGCGAGGGTCAGGCGCTCCCGGGGGGGATGGCATGGCTCCGGAAGAGGCGGGGTGGGGCACGGAGGGGGCTTGGGAGGGAGGCTGGGGGAGCAAGTCGGCTCCTATTGGGCAGGAGGCGTGTCACTCTCCATTCCACAGAAAGCACCATTTCTCCACTGGCCCTTACGCCCACAGCTTTCGGAGCCCTCGCCGGGGCTCGTTACGCAGCCGTCTGCCACGCGCGGCACCTGCTTTGCCTGGAGGCCTCGCATTGGGGAATCTCTCCCTAAGTGCAGCACCTGTAGGCTCAGGGCCTCCAAGGCAGCCCCTGTGTTGTGCAGCCTGGCCACTACTGCCTGGGTCCCCAGGCCGGTGCCGCTCAGCCCCTGGGGGGCGTAACGGGCGATGGGTGACCCGCCGAAAGGCCACAGTCCCAGAGAGCCCTGTGACTCCTGGAGGGCGGCGAGACTCGCTCGGCCTGTCTGCGGAGCCCGAACAGCGTCAGGCGGGTTGCCACGGTGCTGCCCGGCGGTGTCACTCGGAGCGGGCCCACGGCAGCGTTTAGGTGTTCATGTGGAGCCAACTCTCCCCTCCCACCACACCTGGGGCTTGGGATATGGGGCCGGGCCTGTTCACTGTGCTACGTGACTGCACACAGCCCAGTGACAATGGAGTCCCTGCCCCGGTCAGTAGGAAAGCACAAAGAGGATGGTGGGCCAGGCCCTGCAGGGAACGAAGCTGCCAACTTGCCCTGAGCTCCGCAGGCCCTGGGAGCCGGAGCTTGGAGGGCCCAGGCTGCACATCGAGAGGGGCGCAAAGGCGTTCCGCTTTATTCTGCTTTTAAATACAAAGCCCCCTCGTCCCGTGTGCTGCTGACAGTCCCAGCCACAGAGGGCAGGCCAGGCCCACGAGAGGGCACCAAGCCCCCTCTGGACTCAACCACAGACTCTTCTGTGCATCTCACTGCAGAGATGTGATGTGCCCTGCAGGCTGGGGCGACAGTGAATACAAGCGAGTGGTGGCCGGACAGGCTCCCCGCTCTGCCATGTGGGCCCGAACCCACAAAGGCGTTGGGGTGCCCAGCTCTCCGCACAGGCCGAGGAGCCGAGGGACTCGGCGCCCATGCAGCCGCACACCAGAGTGGTGTGAGGAACCAGAACATCCACGCAGGCCTTGGCTGTGCTCTCCCCTGGGGCGGCTCCACCCGGGGCAGCTCCGTCGGATTATTGCCTTCCTGAGCCTGCTCGGAGCTGCAGCCTCTGCTCTGCACCACTGGGGGTCCAGTGCTTCAGGGGCTTTTAACTCCACCATCCCTGACAGGCAGCATGTCCTCAGGCCACTGGCTGGCCCCCGGACACAGCCACCTCCTCCTAACACGCCGGTGAGGCGGGGCAGGGCAGATGGGAAACTGAGGCAGAGCGTGGCTACAGGAGGTCTGTGGTAGAGCCAAGTCCTAGGTGAGTGCCCTATGAACTTCACCCGAAGAGAGTTTTGTACCTGAAATATATAAAAGGGAGGGGGAGAGTCCCCCCGCACCCCCAAGCCCTGATCCAAGCATCCCTGAAATCCGTAGTTTAAATTGAGATGTGAGCCCTGCAGCAGGCCCTGCTCTGGCTAATGGGCCAAACTGCAAAGCGGGAAGCTGCCTGGACCTGAGAGCTCCATGCTGCCACTCAGCCCCGCACCCGAGGGGCCACAGATGGAGATCTGCCTGAGCTGGAGCTGTGCTGCTGCTACTGCTGTTGCTGCTGCTGCTGCTAGTGTTGCTGCTGCTGCTAGTGTTGCTGCTGCTGGTGCCGCTGCTGCTGCTGCTTGGGGGCCAGCTGAGGGCTGTGGACTTTGGAAATGGGCTTTGATCTTACTCAGCTTTCGGATTTTATTCTCAGAGCTCTGCAGCCGAGAATTGAAGACCCGGCAGAACTTCTGCAGCCCTTTCTCAGGGTCCCGGAGGTATAAGGAGCGGAGCTGGGGAAGGCTCACATTGTGCAGGGACAGCGTCTGCACCGAAGGCTTGGTGAGAAGTTTCTCACTCAGCAAGGGCTGCAGGGAAGTGTAACAGTCCAGGTGAGAGCAGGTGAGCACAGGCCTTGCATCCTGCAGGGGGTCCAGCTCCAGAATGACACACAGATCCCGCAGGGCCTTGGCGTTCTCCATCGGGCTGCTGTCATTGAGCTGCCGCCAGAGGTAGGTGCTGGCCAGGGTCTTCAGTTTGTGGTTCCCAGTCCTGGGGATCTTCTCTTTAATCAGGGGCAAGACATCCAGGAAACCAGAGACAGCTGCGCAAAACTCTTCCTTCCTGCCCAGGAGAGCCAAGGACTGAAAGAGCACAGGCAGGGCTGCAGACCAGAGACCGTATCCTGCTAACACAGGCTTGTGGACAGAGCAGAGGTGGTGGAACAAGGACTTCACGCCAATCTCACAGATGCCGCCTTTTGAGATCAAGTCAGGCAAAGAGGCCATCGGCTGGATCCACCACGGCCAGCTGCAGGATCCTGTTTGCTTCTGGGAGTGAAAGACAGAATCTGTCAGGGGAACTTGACCACTGGGCGTGGGCCTCACCCGGCAAAACGATGGGCTTTAATGGGGCTACAGCGATTACAGCAACGGGGGATCTGGCCCCTCAGAGCCCTCCCCAAGCAGCATCTGACCCCCCACGCCTAGCTTGCCTCTTCCAGGGCACTTCAGCTAACCTGTCCCCAGCACAGCCCTTGCCCTGGCCCCGCAGGTGTTCCTGGGAGAGGGGAAAGGGCTCTTCCTCACTCGACGGTGTCACTTCTGGAAGGGGAGGGCTGCTCCGGGAGCCTGGAGGCTGTTAACCTAGAGCCCTGCCTGACCACGTGGCAGATGCACCAGCCGCTTGCCGCTGACCATCCTTCCATTCATGGCCTCGTGGACTTGGGCTATGTCTGCACTACAAAGCTTTTGTGCAAAAACCGGTGGAGCGTCGACACCTGAAGTGCGTTTTTGCACGAGAAAATCTAGTCAGGCGACAGACCAGAAGGCCTCCTTCTACGAGGAATAAGTCCTTTTTGCACAAGAGTTCTTGCACAAGAAGGTGCGGGTGGATGCTCAACAAGGGTTTCTTGTGCAAAAAGAGCCAACCACAAAAAGCACAGGTGCGCTGCTGGCCGTTCTGGGAACGCCCAGCAGAACTTTCTTGTGCAGAGTGTCCATGCAGTGTAGACGCTCTCGTGCGCAAGACCTTTTTGCAGAAGATCTCTTCCGGCCCTGCAGTGCAGACAAAGTCCTGCAGCCCCTCCAGCAGCAGGGCTGCCTCGCCTCGCCTCGCCGTGGGAAGCCTGCTGCTGCACCCTAGCGGGGACATGGCAGGTGGTCATCTCCCCAGCAGAGCCAGGGAGACCCATGGCCTCTGGCCTGTCCTCCCCCTCCGTAGGGCATCTACACTGCAGAGTTTTCCCGGGGTACCAGAGGCACCCCAAAAAACACTGCCAAGTCCAAGGAATGCGTCTGTTTTTCTGAACGTGTTTTTGAAGAGCAGACACGTTTTTCTGCATCCCTGTAAACCTCGTTCTACGAGGAAGAAGGAATGACCCGGAAGAGGGTTTTCCCCTGGCGTTTGGCCCTGTGTCGGAAAAGCCTCTTTCGGAAGGAAAGCGGGAAAAGATACGCAATTTGCCTCCCTTTTTCCAACTCTTCCTGCAGTGTAGACAGAGCCTTGGGCTGTGTCTAGACTGACAAGTTTTTCCGCAAAAGCAATTGCTTTTGCGGAAAAACTTGTCAGTCTAGACACAGCCCAAGGCTCTGTCTACACTGCAGGAAGAGTTGGAAAAAGGGAGGCAAATTGCGTATCTTTTCCCGCTTTCCTTCCGAAAGAGGCTTTTCCGACACAGGGCCAAACGCCAGGGGAAAACCCTCTTCCGGGTCATTCCTTCTTCCTCGTAGAACGAGGTTTACAGGGATGCAGAAAAACGTGTCTGCTCTTCAAAAACACGTTCAGAAAAACAGACGCATTCCTTGGACTTGGCAGTGTTTTTTGGGGTGCCTCTGGTACCCCGGGAAAACTCTGCAGTGTAGATGCCCTACGGAGGGGGAGGACAGGCCAGAGGCCATGGGTCTCCCTGGCTCTGCTACTTTGCAGCATCCATTCCCGGGTCTTACGCAAGAACTGGAGGTCAAAGAAGAGCAGGGAGGCTTGTCTGGTGTCGAGCGCCCGCGGGCTGCTGGCAGCAAAGGCCGGGAGGTCTCCCTCGCTGCTCCCACAACTGAAGCTGTTGATGTCATCCAGCAGACTGGAGTCCTGGAGAAGGGAACGGAGATGGGTGTCAAAGGCTCCAAAAGAGCCCAGAGAATCAGCCCAGGGAACTCACAGCCTCTAGTTCCCCTCCAGCTCCCCAAGGCTCTGTGGTTGCTGCAGACTCATCCGGGCGGCCGCCCCAGGTCTGAGCTCCCAGGTGAGCCTCGCCTGGTGTGAGCTGCACAGGCCTATGGAGGGGCGAGGTTCCTGGGTGCTCAGGGCGCTGTGCTCCCATGTGTGGAGGGAGGGGCTATGCTGCCCTGTGATTCTGCCCAGAGAGCTGGGAGAGACCTTCTCCATGCTGTGGGGCACAAGGGGATTGTGGGAAGGCAGTGGAGGACCATCGGCTCTGGAGTGGGTTAGCTGCAAAGCAGGTGTGTTATTGCCTCAGGGAAAGCAGCGCCCAGGCGCTCAGCCACTGCCCAGCTGGGCTAGCAAGACCGGGTGTACACTGAGGAACAGGGCTGGCAGCTTTCTAACTGCAAAAACCATGCACCCTTGCCCTGCCTGCTGCCCCGCCCCTTCTCCCAAGACTCCGCCCCCTCCCCTGTCAGTCGCTCTCCCCCACCTTGGCTCACTCGGCTCACACGTCTCAGGGCGTGAGCTGGGCAGCGCCTCCCTGGAAGTGGAGACAGGCCCCTCGGCTCCTGGACGCAGGGATGCCTAGGCAGCTCTGCAGTTGCCTATGCCCACAGGCGCTGCCCCCCAGCTCCCGTCGGCTGTGGTTCCCGCACGGGGCCCTCCTCTAGGAGCTGGGCGACGTGTCCACACTTAGAGCCCGCCGGCCCTGCACCAATGGGACTTTCAGCGGCCTGGTGGGTGGGGACCCTTTGTGGCCAGGCAGTACACCTGCAGCCCCAGTCAGTCCGGGGGCCAGGGAGGGGGGGGGCAATGTGGAGGGAAGAGCCCCGGCTGACTGCAGGGAAGAGAAACCCCAAAGTGCTTTGGTAAACCACAAGGTGCCTCTCTGCAATGTGAGGTGTGTAACTAGCTCTGCCAATCCGGCCAGGGCGTCCCATCGCCTTTCCAACCAGCCGAAATGCTGGGCGCCCTCCAGGCAGCGCCCCGCACCCACAGGCAGCGTCTGCTTTGTCCCAGCGGAGAGGGCCCGCACTGGCGGAGGCTCCCGGCGTCTGCCCTGGGCGCTGTGGTGCTCTTGGGCACTGTGCCTCACTCACCGCTGACTCTGCATCGCTGTCATCCCCTTCAGAGCTGTCCAAACAACTTGTGGAATCATCTGCAAGAAGCAAAAGGCAAGTCAGACTCCTGAGCCACTCACAGGAGTGCAAGGAAGAGATTGGGGATTGGAGGGTGTGAGTGGGGATCTTCCTTTGCCACGCACTGCACAGTTAGCCTGTGGAACTCACCGCCACAGGAGATCATGGAGACCGAGAGCTTAGCAGAGATTCAAAAGAAAGACTGAAAATAAATATGGATTTCAATCCTACTGCTTCTAACTCCTGTGACTGTCCCTTTGCTCTTGTATTATGAGACTGGGCGAATAGCAGCCCCATCTACAGTCTCTGTCCCTTTCAGAATTATGTAGGTCTCTGCCACATCCCCTTTCATTCAGCTCCGCTCTAAGGCGAGGAGTCCCCATCTTTTCAATCTCTCTTTCTGTGGAAGGTTTTCTCTTCACATGACAAGGGAAGAAGGGTGCAGAATCTGAACAAATACTCAGCGTGGGGGATTAATTCTGCTCCCCCTTGGACTGGGTTTTCTGATGGTTATCTAAGGGTAACTGAGAAAGGAAGCTGGCATTTGGGGTGCGCAAGATGCATACATCGCCTGGGGAAAGGGGATTCCACACCATGCAACAGTCCTCAATATTCACACCTGCTATTTGTCAAAATTCCCTGAAGGAGAGAGGACAAAAACCCAGGGCTAATAGGAATAAAAACAAACAAATAGGCTGAGATTTCCCTTATGCCTCGTGAAACGAGGTTTACAGGAGCAGTCGACAAAGGCGTTCCCTGTCGACCGATCCACGTCTTGACTTCCGCGCTGTGCTGACGATCAGCTGAGCCGGCACAGCGTGGCGGCCATTTTTATTTTAATGAAGCCGGGGATATTTAAATCCCCACTTCACTGAGGATGTCGGGTAGCCTATTTCACATGCCCCTGTCAGCAGAGGCATGTGATCTAGACATACCCTTTGAGACTAACAAAACATGTAGAAGGATCATGAGCTTTCGTGGGCACAGCCCACTTCTTCAGGTGATCATTTCTTTAGGTTCCCTGGAAATTTCGGCTCTTAGCTAGCAGCTGGCATTCATAGTTGAAGGATAGAAGGAACCATCGGCTTAAGTAGCCTGATCTTCTGTGTCACACCGACCAGATCGTTTCTCTCCGTTACCCCTTCTTCCTGAAGGCCCCAGCTCAGGTGAGGCGCTCAGTACCCCGGGCTAAGGGAGGGATTTGCCCAGGGCAAATTTGCCTTTTTGGTGGTTCGTTTTCGGTCCCCGTGGCCTGTGACTGCTACCTGCGACCTCACAGCCTGGTGAACGCTGGGGCGTCAGGGCAGAACCAATCAGCTGTGACACGGAGGGGACCCTGGAATCCAAAGATCAGTGTGACTCAGAAAAGATCTTTTCTAACTGCCCACCAGAAGCATCTCTCATAGACTCAGACTTGAAGGTCGGAAAGAATCATCTAGTCTGGCTCCTCCATGGCACAGGCCACAGAACCTCCCCCACTGGCTGAGCTGCCAACGCCTTGCCTCATGTGACAGAACCCACCGCTGACACGAGTTAAACCCACACGTGCCCCGGGGCCACACTGCCGCGGAAGGCAAAGCCCCCCGGGATTTTCTGCCAATCTGAGCCAGGGGAAACGCCTTCCCCACCCCAAAGACGTCAGTCAGCGAGACCCTGGGCACGTGGGCCCTGGGACAGAGCTCTCTGGAGTAACTCGAGTGCCCCACCCCCAGCCGCTGGAGTTCTGCGCTCCGGCAGATGGGCCACGTGCCATCGCAGGCCGCCCCGTCGTACCATCCCCTCCCGAAACGGGTCCAGCACGGTCTTGGAGCCAGTGAGGTTTTTTGCCCCACTGCTGCCCTTGGGAGGCTGCTCCAGAACTTCCCTCCTCTGATGGTTACAACCCTTCGTCTCGTTTCAAGCCTAAGGTTATTGTTGGCCAGTTTCTATCCATTTGTTCTTGTGTCCACCTTGATGCTCTTTGGTCGCCTCTCGCCGGGGAGCTTTCCCATTCCTCAGATCAGCCTTGTGGCCCTTCTCTGCCCCGTTCCCGTCCTAAGGCCTCTCTCTGAAACCTGGCCGACCAGGCTTGCACCCCGTGTTCCAGCTGAGGGCTCCTAGGCCCTCGTTTGTTTCTGGAGTCTCCTGGGGCTTCACTGATGTCAATGGCCAAAGTGAAACCCTTGGAAGACTCTGGTCACTTCTGCCTACCTGGCTCACATAGCTCATGGATGTTGTTCCTCAGCAAGTCCGCTTCCTTGGCTGCTCTGAAGTGGGTCACACCGAAAGAGCTGCTTGCTGCTGAGCAGCTGGTCCCAGGCTGTTCCAGCAAACCTTGCTGGTGCTTGCTGGCCGACTGCTCCCCTTCCCCTACATCAGCTTCTGTCTTAATCATCTTGGCAGGGGGCTCCGTCTGGACTCCTTTCCTCTTCGTGGGGAGAGGCAGCGAAGGGGCCTGACAAAGACACAGACTCTTGAGAGCTTGGGAATACGCCCGACAGGCCCCTTGCAGGTGGCACGGCTCCGGGTTCCTGCACTTACCCAGGCTGGGCCCGTCTGAGGAGAGGCCCCGGCATAGCGCAGCAATGGGGGGACGGCCAGACGGCTGGACAGCAGTTCTTGGAGACGGGCCCACAAAACATGGAAAATGGGAGGCTCCTGCCTCCACCCGCCAGTGGGCCCACATCACAGTCAGTGACGGGATGGCTAGTTTTTTCTCTTGGGTAATTCAGTGCCAATAACTTTGTGAATTGAAACTGAAGTGGCAATTTACATCCTCACAGCAGGACAGTCTGCCCTAGGGAGAACGTACGTCTGCCGCCTCAGCCGGCTCCTTCCTCCCTCCGGCCCCCCATGCATTTCGCATCCCCCACCTGGGCCGCCCTCCTAGCTGAGCCACGGGACGTCAGTTGGCTATGGGGACCAACGGGGATGACTGGCGGTTACCCGCAGAGGAGCAGCCCCAGGTGGAGCAGAACGTTCATGAAGACGATGCCAGAGGACCTGAGACAAGGGCAGGAGGGACCCAGGGGATACTGGAAATGAGCCCTGTGCTGGGCTACCTGCTTCTGAAGTGCCCCTCCCCTCCTGACTCCCCCATGGCACGGTAACGATGGGAGGAGAAGGGCCCCTGGGCGATACCAATGTGAGGCAAAGCAGCCCTGGACCCCTGGCGGCGGGATGCAGTATGGCAGTGTCACCACTGCGCGGCGCTGTCTTCCAGCGTCCCTTCGCCAGCCCCCTGGCAATAAGAGCCGGGGGTTACGTTACCCGTCCCCTGGTGTGCTCCCACCTGTGCCAGGGTCTATACGATCACCTCTTACTGGGGTCTTTGCCTTGGGCTGTGTGCGGCTCTTATATTCCCCTCTCTGCTCCCGCTCACTCCCAGTCTCCAACCTACTCAACGTTTTCTCTTCCTGTAGGTCTCATCCTAGTCTCCCCCCCCCCCCCCCTCAGGCCAGCACCCCCCCCCCACGCTGCTTCTCAAGCCTCGCGTCCCACGTGCGTGCAGGGGGGAGGAAACCGACGCCCCCAGCCCAGCCTGCCCTGCCTCACTTCTCACGTCTGCCCGTGTACGCTGGAATGTTCTCGGGACAGGCGGCGTGACCGACCCCTCTCCTCTGGCACGCTGTGTGCTCAAGCCTTGAGGCAAGGGACGGGATGGAACGGAGGGAACAATGGACCTTAGATCCAATTTCCTGTATGAAAAACAAGCTGAGGCAGGAGGCTGGTGGGTATTAACCAGCACTGCGCTGCAGCCAGTCCCCTGGAGCTGTGCTTGGATTCCTGCCAGCGGTGCACAAAGTGATCCCCACTCCTGTCCGAACAAGCACAGCTCTGTCTTACCTTGCTGGAGGTATCTGTGGATCTCGCCGGAGCAGCTTCTAGCGAAACCAGAAAAGAACGAGTGAGGCAGCAGGCCATCACCGGCGTGCACGGGCACAGCAGCTCTGGCTAAGAACAAACCCTGGCTCCGAGCCACCATTTTTCATGAGTAAAGTTTTGCAAAAGCAGCCTCATTCTCTCCATTCGAAAGACAACATAAGAATGTCCCTGCTGGGCCAGGCCAAAGGTGGGGAGACTGAGGCACTGAGTGGCAACACACTGGCCCAGTGGGTCAGGGTAGGGCCAGGCGGAGCAGCCAGCCCACGACTCCATCCAATAGGCTTCCAAGATCACTGACAGGCGCCCCGCCGAGTGACGGCAGAGAGCCACCCACGTGCGCAGCCCTTTCTCCGAAAGCTGCCGTGGGCAGGACCCGCACACAGGAGCTGCACCGGGTGGAGGGCCCTGACCTCCCTGCTGCCCTGGACTCACCCCGCCACTCGCGGGCCCAAGCAGCTTCTCCCGCTGCGGGGCTGGGCTGCACACGGCCGACGCGGGCCAGGCTCCCGCCCTCGCACTGGCGGGGAGCTGTACCTGGAGAGAGGAGTGTAGGGGGGAGGTGACCTGCTGTGCCCATGTCGCTCCTGCCCTGGCTCTGGGGGCCACGTGTGCTAGACCGAGGTGGGAACCTCCGGCCCGTGGGCTGCACGTGGCTCCTCGTTGTTAGCCCCGGGCGGGACACCAGAGGGGTGCCTACCTCAGCAGCTGCGGGAACGCTCGCTCCCATTGGCCGCGGTTCGCCGGTTCCAGGCCAATGGGAGCCCAGCCCACGCCGCTTCCCGCAGCTCCCATTGGCTGAGTGGCAAACGGCCACCGGGATCTCAGGTACAAAGGCATCTGGCAGCCTGCCGGGCACCCTCAGGAGCGGCGTGCAGCCAGGGGCCGGAGGTTCGGCATCCCGGGGCCAGGCCTGGGCTGCCACCTCCCCACTGGCTCCACAGCGGCTTTTGGATTCCTGCAGGCGCCTGGCTCACGCTGGGGAGACGCTGACTCTTCTTTGCTGGCACTAGCACCAGGCAGGGGCCCCGTGGCACTGGGTGCGACCGGCTGTGTCTACCCCCAGAGACTGACGCAGGCTGTGCGGTTACCCCCATTCGGAGGGGAAACTGAGGCACAGCGCCATTGGCTGCCCTGCCCAGAGAGAACGGAGCCCACGTCACCTTAACCCTCCTTATACACAAGCCCACCCTTTGTGGTGCACATGCCTTTCAGGGACACAAGGGAAAGGAAACACGCAGCATCCGACACCACAATGACCAAAGCACCCCGAGACACGAGGCCGAGCAAGGGGAATATTAACGCTCTTTCTCGAGGGAAGCAGCCGCAGCCAGGCTCTGGCC